CTGTGGATGAAGACATTTTAACCAGAATAGCCGACGAAATGACCTACTTCCCCAGAGAGGAGAGAATTTATTCAGATAAAGGATGTAAAACTGTGGATGCAAAGCTGGATTATTACTATGACTTCTAATGCTTTATTGCCACAACCTGCAAAGAAGCAAATTTAACTTAATCACAAAGTGGAGAACCCAGGACATTTCATTTTTAAGCACTTTTTAAAGAAAGGAACATTATTTTTTAACTGGTGTGTAAACAAGCGGCAGTGCCTCTGCATTTTTATTCTGTCACTGGTCACGGCTCCCAAGTACTTCAGCCTTGTGTTGTCAAGGTAAGAACGAACTGCGTTGTGAGTGCGGGGGTCTGTGTCTGACAGTGCTGAAGACTCCTCGGATCGTGTGTCAATCGTTGGAACCATTTGGTGGACTGTTGGCATGTATGGAAGGACTGAGACTATGACCTAATTTTAATTGGATTTTGGTTTGATGTGGATGATCTCTAGACAATACTGAGAATTTTAATCAAAGTTCCTATGTCTGTGACAGCCTTCATTGGGCTTGTGTGGGGAATATTCCTATAACTGCATTAAAAGTAGGATATGTGTCTTTTCTCCTTGAACAGCTTGGCTCCAGTAAAGATAAGGGGAGATTCTGTAACAACAACAACAAAAAAAAAAAATCCAGTGTTCTATCCAACATCACACAGTACCATTTTCTTTCTCACAACAGTGGTATAATTTGGTCTTCTGCCTGTCAAACTAAGAATATGGAACTGTTTGGTGTGAATAGTGTTCAGAGGGCGGACTTAATATTACAAGGAAGTGAGTTAAAATCCTTGACTGCCACATCAGTGTAGCTGGTTCCCATTTTTGGTTATTTTTTTAATGTATAAAGTTGCCCACAGCATGCTCTCCCAGGAGGGAGAAAAGTGTGCTTTCTGACTGGTGAGTCAGCTTCATCGAAAGGGTGTGACTTAATGGGAAACATGTACAGGTTAACTTTTACACCAAGGAAATGGAAAAGAGGTTTCTCCTCTTCACCTATATGTAGAATTCAGGGGCCAGCTTGCAGGGTTTTCCTTTTTTCATCTTCTTGCTATACTGTATGCCTTTGAGGCAGGGATGAAGACACTTCCAAAGGCATTTGAAAAAAACCAATGTGCAATGTGTGAACTGAAGTTACTGTGAAGAGTGTCAGACTTGTTTCTGAATGTGAGCACTGCAGAGGCTTTTTTTTCACTCCAGTTTCTAGTAAGAATAAACTTTTCTCATTGGAAATGTATTTCTTAGCTACCTTCTGATGTTCTTTGCACTGAGTGATTTGACTTACTACTTGTTAAGGAAGAGCATACTATGTTTCTGGCTGAAGTGTTCAGCTGTGCTTGAATACGGGTATCTCCCTTCTTGAGTTCAAAGGGAATAGATACGAGGAGGAGATGTGACTCTCTGCTACCTGGTGAAAGGGAAACAAATGAAGTTTGGAGTGGAAACTGCACTTCCAGACCATCGGCACTAATTGCACTCGCACAGTTTTTGTAGAGGCAGACTTTCTAGATGTGTATGTGCTCAACAGTATCATAAGGATGAACTTGTCTTCTAGAGACTGGTTAAAACCCCTGCTTCTCGTCGCCTCTTCCCGCTGTGGTACCGCTGACTGAACACCCTGCAGGCTCTGATTGAAGCCACCCACGTTTTCAGTGGCAGCATCTTGAAGTTTTCACTACGAGGGGGGGGGGGAGGGCCAGTAAGATTTCAGCTGTCCAGTTCTGCTCTGAAGTTGTGTAATATATGAATTATCAGTCCTAGTATTTGTCAGCAAATGAGTGCTTTGAACTCAGGTATTTACCTGTTTCTTTGACCTCCTGATGATAACAAATGACTGGCTAATGGAAAAAAGCAGACGTGAAAACAATGAACTCTTACTACTGTCTGATACCTTCTCATCAAAAGAAACAGTTCAACCAAGCAGTACTGTGGCTCTTCCAGCATTAAATACGCTCTTAGTTCTGCTTTGTGTGCCATTGCAGCATCAATACTGGCATTTGACATACGTTGGTAGCAAGTATTTCATTATATTGTGGTCCTAGATGGCTTAGGGTAGACAGAAGCTTCCTCGGGAGGATGTAGAAATGATGTCCAAAGGGTGGAGACTGCCTCTGTTCAACTCTTCTTTTCTTGAAAACAGCAGACCTGGCTAGGAGCATCTCCATCTGAGTAAAAGAAATATGCGTGCCTGAAATCACTGCCAGATTTGATCCTTCTGATCCTGTCGTTATTCCTCCCCTTTAGACTGTATGGTTTCAAAGCTGAGGTCCTCACTCTCTTTCTTGCTGTGACTGGGTAACTTTGGCCATTATTCTTTTTAATAGGCCACTTCAAACTGGATCAGACAACTTAAAGGAAAATGTCAAACGGGGAAAGGTCTGATCCCTACAGAAACAGTGCACTGGCCAGGTGAGAGTAGCTGAGCAGTTGCTGAGACTGAATTTTGTTCTTGCCAAACTCTAGTACAAGCAACCGGTGCTTTAATTCAACCTTCTTCTGCAGGGAACATTCCAAAACCTCATGCTGTGCTCATAAAATCGGAGGCTATGCTTAAAATACAGTGATGTATTAAATGCTGCTTTTGATAGAAAGAGGCAGCCTGGCCCTAGAGCTTCATCTGCCTGATGCCCTGGGCCAAACAGCCAAGCTGTCGTGTGTGCAGAGCAGCGCAGGCACAGTGCAAAGTCCTGATGAACGAGACAGCTTACGCTTCCCATGTATGCTCTGTCATGAGTTTCCTTGTGCATCGTTACAGCACAACACATGGTTCACAACAGCATGAACAACTGTTCAGTGAGGTGTGAGCTGTTGCCAACAGCTGTACCTCACTTGAATTAGGCTGTTTGTTTTTTTTTTACACACGGGCTTTTTTTCAGTACTGGAGAGGCTGCAGAGGTTCTGGCCCACAGAGATACCATGAAAGCCCGTAGTCCTATCATGGCTTTGCCAGCTAGAGGAGAGGTGAAGAGCCGCCTTGAATGACAGCTTTCCAGACACAGCACAGAGAGGAGGAATAGTTAAACAAGCTACCTGAGGCTTATTTGTCCTGCAGTGCCTGGCAGTATGGTAGGAGAGACCTGTTAATAACTATGAAGCAGAGGCAGGGACTTTAAGGCTTTTTCATAGGTGTTTGTTTCTACTGAGCTGTATTTAACTGCTGAATGCCTTACTGTGCTGTTGGATGACTCAACATGTTTTAATATCAACAGGCTACTTAATCTGCTTATCTACTGTTATAAACAATTTTTTAAGAATAAAGGAAGCTTAACAGAAAGCTGCAGTGCAGCTGGTTGAAAACTGCATAAACTAGTACTTTCCTATAGCTGAAAATTATTAAGCCAAGGGAGAAGAGTGACTTAAGATTTATTCCAACTGCAGTACAGTAGTAATAGTGTTTTGAAATTGCACAAGTATTTTGTATTTGGAGTAACTGAAACTGGATACAGCATTTACACCTCTGAATGTCAGTTAATAGGCAAAACATACATGAAAAGCTACAGTCCAATGTCCCAAGGTTAATGGCTAGCTAGTGTTTGGCTCTGGAGATTGCATCAGCATGAACAGTTTGCCAACATTTGACAAATTCCACATGGGGTTGTAAAAGGCAATTGACATTTTTAATTTAGAACTTAACATAAATGCTAAGCTCTCTATTGTAATCTGAATTAACATAATAGTGTTGAGACCTATAAGTTTTGCATCACATCTTAAAGCAAGTTTAAGTACAAATGAGGGAGTAGATGCTGCAGCACAAAAATAGCCCAATCCCTCGTAACAGTTTAAAAAACCCACTACAGTCAACAAAGTGATAGGCACTTCTGTCTTGCACTACAGTATTTGAGCAATGATGGATGGTGATGGATGACGAAAGAGGTAAAGCTTGCAACAGAGTTTTAAACCCCAGCCTTACCAAGTGGGTGAAGGTTAAATCATCTTTCCCAGCTTCCTAACTCATCACTCACCCTTCCACACAGACATTCTTTAACATTAAAAGCTACTATAAAAGCTACTATACTTATCTAGTGAGGTACACGGTTGTTGATTGCTCCCATTCCCCATATTCCCTTCCCTGTGGCTCTCTAGGAAAAGCTTTGTATTGCTGTTGCTTATACTTCAGTATAAAAATACACTATTAAAAATAACTTCTGCCATGAAAGTGTCTTTCAAGCAACGCGAGAGTGGCATTACCCACTCCTAGGCTATTGGGTGCAGCCGGGAGGGACTACTAAAGATCCTGCAGACTTCAGGCCCAGGAGCCCGCATGCAGATTAACCTGACAAGCTGCAAGAGTCAAATCCTCATGAGAGATTTTTCTGATTAAGAACAGGAGACTGGCCTAGTATGTTGTAACAGTCAGATCCCTCAGATGGGTCACTCCGCTTAGGAAGACCTGGAATTACCACACAAATTCACTTAGCCCCCTTAGTTAGAAGAATGTAAAGTTTCTTTTACAATTTGTTTTTCCCCAAAGAAGCAGAGGGGCGAGCAGTTATTCCCCACACACCCCCCCCTTTCTCTACTACTTAGTGACAGATTTCCCTGAGCTCATCATGACTTCCCATATTACTGTAGCAGGAGATGTGATACGATGCCACAGTTTATGTATAAACTATAATCACCCCTTCTGTCCCTGAATAGCTGGCGCTCGTCTGTAGAAGCCGCAACAGCATCAATCCGCTGTGAAGGACAGGATGCCTTCCACCATACCATCTTCTTACCGCAACGCATCAGGGTATTCACCCTCGTAGACACTATCATAGTCTTGAACACACCACACATCCCTTCGTTTCACTAGCCCATTTTCATGGTTTAACCTCAGCTGGCAACCTCCCAGCTCCTTGTGCACCCCCAGCCTTCTCAGTCGGGAGAGCACGGGAAGCTGGAAAGTCCTTGCCTAGTGTAAGCACTGCTCAGCAACAACTAAAACATGGGTGTGTTATCAACATTGTTCTCATCCTAAATCCAAAACACAGCACTGTACCAGCTACTAGGAGGAAAATTAACTCTATCCCAGCCGAAACCAGGACACCCACGAACAAGACCGTGTACAAGGGACTATGACTGCCAGGAAGAATTCCTCTGTTCTCCTTTGCTCTAGTCTCGTTTTTGTGGGAAGAGGAATTAAATACTTAATAATCCCAGCACTTGGAAGAATAAAGCAGGAGAGGCTGTATCCAGTGCTATGTATGTGACACACTCAGAAATTCTCTATAGGTTAAAAGAAAAATAAAGCAGACAACATTTGGATACCAGCCATTTCAGAGATGAACAGTGAGAAGTTAAAAAAAAAAAAAGTTAAAAAGCCCACAGAGCTCACTCCGGTATTTTCACCACACTCCCTGCAACGGTAAAAAAGCTTAAGTGCAAATACACAGATTTCCAAAAGGTCTGAAAGTGCTTTGAAGACCTGAATGGTAATTAACCCTTGGCTTTTGTATCCTTCATCGCAGTGTCTTCGTGAATATCCAGCTTGGCCTGTACAGTCTTGCAGCCTTTATCAGAGTAGATTTTCTCCTCTTTTGGGAAGAACGTCATCTCATCAACCACTGCTTGAACAACCTCCTCATCGACAGCATAGCCACGGGCTATCATTTCAGCCCTGACGCACATCTTCACATGCTTCTGTTCCAGGGGCAGGAAGGGGATAAAGTAGTCAATGAGGTTCTTCTCGATGAGGCTGCTGTGCCACAGTCCACCTGGAGGAGTTGGGGGAAAGGGAAAAGCAGGGCAGCGTCAAGAGATGAACCCTGTGTTAGGAAGTAAAAGGAATTTCCCATTTTCTCAGGAAAGTGACTCACTATTCTTGTTATTGAAGACTCCTACAGATAGCGTGGGCTCCAGGTCTTTCAGCTGAATCTCTTCCCTGTGTTTTCCACTTGTCCAGAAGTCAAGAGCTGCTCTATTAATTAAGTCACCACCTGCATTGCTGTTCATAAAAGAAAAATGTACAGGGGTGAGTACAGACACAAAGGAACCAGAATTTCTTTTTTAGCCGGTTACACGTATTGCTGATCTTCCTGATGTCAAACAAATCACCGAAACAGAAACCTGTAAGCCAAAATTTAGGGAAAGTCTCCAGTTCTTTAAATAGCCATCACTGTGTGCTGGGTTGACCTCGGCCAGCAGCCAAGTACCTACACAGCTGCTGGCTTACTCCCTCCCGCCTCAGCAGGATGGAATGAGAAAATAGGGAGAACAAAAGTGAGACGACTTGTGGGTCAAGATAAAGACAGTTTAATAGGTAATGAAAAGAGGAGAAAAAAAACCCAAGGAAGGCTAAGGAAATCACTCACCACCCCCACAGTCAGACCAACGCCCAGGCAGTCTCCAAAGAACCATCACCTTGGAAGCTGAACCCCCGCACTTCTTTCTCTACCCCAGTTTTTATTGCTGAGCATGACACTACATGGTATTGAATATTCCCCTGGCCAGTTGGGGTCGGCTGTCCCAGCTGTGTCCCCTCCCATCCTCTTGCCGACCCCAGCCTGCTCGCTGAGGGCAGCATGGGAAAAAGAGAAAGCCTTGAGGCTTTGCGAGCACCGTCCACAAACAGCCCAAACATTCGTGTGTTATCAACACTGTTTTAGCCACAAATCCAAAACACAGCACCAAACCAGCTGCTGTGAAGACAATCAAGTCCATCCCAGCCAGACCCAGTACACGGTGCCCCCATCCCAGAGAACTTCCCCAAAATGTGAACTCTCACACGATCTGTGCTCTGGGCCAGGCTCGCGAGCTCAGCACGCTGCAGTGGTCTGCTGCACGGCACCAGGCCCGCTCCACTGCACCCACAGGCCACGCAAGAGCTCATAGTGCTCCCCTGTGTCTTTACAGAGGGTCTTCACTCCAGAGCGGGTCTTTTGCTGGTCTTTGAATGAGGTCCCATAGGAACATCATTATCATCATAAACACAGATTTACCTCAGTATCGCAAAATGACTGAAATAGGTGCTGCAGACCTGAGGAAGATGAAGATGGCTTTTGTGTAGGACACCCCATCAACCTGCTCGTAATAGTCTAAGAACGGCTTGATGGCATCAATGAGACCTGGGTGCATTTTGTCCATCTCATCAAAAATGAAGACGGAGTGGGGACAGGCGCTGACGTTGCCCCGAATCCAGTTCTGCAGTTGGTCCTGGAACAAGAGGTTGGAAAACACTGAAAAACTAGGTCTCTTGGGGATGTACTCAAAAATATTTGTACGTGACAGCCTCTAGGGACACCCTTTCAAACGTCAGCATCACACACTCACTGGTTAAAAAAGAGAGGACCATAAACACTGTGACTGAGCCCTTTAACATGTGGCACCAAATTTAAAGGTGAATTCTTCTCCTACGCACAGATAAGAGACTTTCTCATTATTTCTGCTTAGTGTATGGATAAGGCACGACAACCAGGCCGAGATGGGAAGTCTTGGAGAAGAGAAAGCTTCGTTTGTTTTAAAAAAAAATTAAAAATCAGTGTGTCCTCTTTCATACAGAAACCAGATCTATCAGAACATCAGTTTTGGGTACCTTCAAACATTAAAACATGAAGATCAGAATTCTGCAACGTCAAGGAATGAAGTCACTTGAAAAATCTCTCATGCAGGCTACACTTTCTCATTGCATAGTGCATGGTGGGTTGGCCTGGCCAGCAGCCGAGCACCCCAGCAGGATGGGGGAAGAGAGGACAAAGAATAAAAGTGAGAAAATTAATGGGTCAAGATAAAGACAGTTTGATAGGTGATGGAAAGAGGAAAAAACCAAGCAAAGGGAATCACTCACCCCCCTGACACATGCAGACCAATGCCCAGCCAGTGTTAGAGCAACAGCCACCTTGGAAGCCAACACCCCCCACTTTTTCCTTCTTCTACCCCAGTTTTTATTGCAGAGCATGACAGCATATGGTACGGAATATCCCTGTGGCCGACTGGGGTCAGCTGTCCCAGCTGCGTCCCCTCCCAATCTCTTGCCCACCCCGGCCTGTTTGCTGTGAGTGAGGGAAAAAAAAGCAAGTTTTGAGGCTGTGCGAGCACTGTTCAGTAACAGCCAAAACACCGGTGCGTCATCAACACTGTTTTAGCCACAAATGCAAAACACGGCACCGAAGGCACTGCTATGGAGAAAGTTACCTCCATCCCAGCCAACCAGTAAGCACAGTTTTAACGACGGGATTCTTTCCTAACAGCAAGCACTGCAGGAATCAGTAGATGGCATCAGCGAGAGGACAGACCTCGGAAATCACTTTCACCTTCGATTTCTCGGAGTTTTGGTGCCTTTCTTTTTCACTTCGTGAATGCGTTTCCCCCTCCACCCCTCCTGAGCACCAACTTTGGAGGCACCCAGCTGCCCGCCTCCAGCTGTCAGGTATCTGGGGGCACGTGCAGCACAAACAGCCAACCCCCCCCCCGCACTAGGGGGTTTAGGAAGTCGGGGTAACTGGGTTACCTTGTGTCCCCCCTCACCTTGTAGAGCTTCAGTTCGTCGTCGTGGGGGAAGTGCAGGGTGGGCAGGAAGAGATGGACGAACTTGCTGCGCAGGCCGGCGGGGTGGACGTGCTCCGCCAGGATCTGGCTGAGGAAGTTCTTGCCGGTGCCGGCCCAGCCGTGG